TTTTGTTTATTTTTAGACATAAATTTAAGTACAAGTTACATAAAAAAAAGTAGACCTGTGAGTTCTAACAATTCATCCTAAAAAGAACATATATATCTACAAAATGTCATGAAAATCCATCCTGTTGTTGATGAGCCATTTCAGTACATATACAACCTCACGGCTAAAGTAAACGAAGGGTGTCGTGAAGATCATCGAGATTCATCATCTTGAAATCACCTGTACAAAAGTTTGTAACAACTCAACCAGTAGATACCAAGTGAAAACTTTGGTGGTAGTGACGGATTATAAATCAGTGCATCTCCAAAATCCTTCAGATGCATCCTCTGGGAACCATGAACGTCATCACATTCATCGCAGCTTCTCTAATACATTTTGAAATATTTCCGTCTGGTTAACCTTAGAGTCATGCTGCTATAATGTGGCTAAAAACATCAGTTGAAGATGTTCAACAGCTATCAATAAATGTTCTTCAAGAAATATACCTTAAAAGCTCCATGATTTTACAGTGGATTGATTGTGTGGAGCATCTCCGGTTTCATCTCTCACATTTTTCATTCACTATTAAAAACATACACTTGTACAGGCTTTGAACTCGCCACAGATCTGCAGAGCAAATTCCACGGGACTGTAAAATCTAAAGCAACACTCGCCTTATGTAACACCAGGTTTTTTTTTTACCAAGATGGAACTTATGGGTCCTTTTTTTTTTTTCCTGCCCCTTGGGTCCCTCTTGGCACAGAGGGTAACCATCAGTGGGCGGAGGTGCAGATCGGAGTGGCATGACTGCAGCTGAGGAATGCGAGGAATTCCCCTTGTAAACACCTCATGCTCGGACGGTCCCCGCGCTCTTATCTCGCCGTACCCATCGCCCCCCCCTTTAATCAGCATAATGGTTCGTTATTCATTAGCAACGCCCCCTTTCTTCTTCATCTATCTGCCTCTATTGTGGCCTCTGCTCGGTCTGGGCAGGTGGGTTTCGCTGCTGCTGCTGCCTTTTGTTTACCTGAGGCACCACATGGTATATTATTCACTCTGATACCCCCCAACGGGCAAACAGAGCCAGTTCTGATACCACTGTATACAGTATAATGGCTTTCAAATGTCAACACCTTGAAAGAGAGAGGGCAGCTCTGCTTGACTGGCCCGGGCTCCTTCTGCTCCTATGGGAACACTCTTCAGCTGATACGATCATAAGTGGCTGAGGAGGGGGAAACATTTATTTTTCTTCTTGGTTGAATAGAGCAGCTTTTGCTTTTGCTTTTGCCACCCCCTCCCCTGCGCCTCAGCTTAAATGAAAGTCATTTGGAAAGCAGCTGAGGGCCTTCGTTAATACTGCATGGCATTTGGAAAACACAGGAAAAAAAAAAAAAAAAACGCAGGCGCGAGTTGGCTTTCCTCCCTCCCTACTTAGGTAAAATCCTGTTTGTGGCCACTTGCTGTTTAGTCAGGCCGGAGGAAGGTTGCAAAGTCCATCCTGCGCTCCATGAGGGGGCCCGTGGGGGGGATGCATTCCACCTCACCGTGTACCGCTCGCTACCAGTCATGAGGGACGCTTACTTACAAGTACTAAAGCCCCACTCACGTTGTCGCGGCCGCATTCCCACGCAAATCTTTCTCACCAGCTTGGACGCTCCGCAGCAGGAGTCAGAAACCAGATTTTCCCTTTTCCTGCAAACTCCCTGATAAGTTTGTTTGGGAACCCTGAATGGGAGAAGCCGATACTTTCCGGGTGTTTTTCCAGAGTTTGTGTAGACTTTTTTTCCCCGACGCTGGTGATAAGGGAGCAGCTGTGGAGATTGTTGAGCCAAACCCCTCAAAAGAAAAAAGAAAAAATCTTCTAAAGTTGACAGTAGATTTCCCGTCGAATAGGAAGGTGATGAAATGACCGACAAAAACTTTGGCATTCGTCGTGTTTCACGCTTTTAAAAGAAGCGGCAGGGTTGGCCGGTGATAACCTGAGGGGGAAATCCTCTAATTGGTTTCCATGTCATTCACTCAGTCTTGGATTTATGAGGATTCATCAAGTTTTTAGAGAGCTTTAGCTTATCAGAATCACAAGTGTCACGTCCGGTGCACGCTGTGGGACAAAATTAGGTAGTGCAGCAAGCCAGGATTACTTTCATCATCATTTATTTTTAGATGAACTGACATAAAATATCAAAGAACACCTGTCACGGAAATGGAGGTCTTCACATTGCTTCCGTGGTCCAATAAACAGACCAAATATATTCAATTAAGAATGATATAAACCAGGCAAAAGATGCTAAAAAAAAAATCAGGAAAAGAAAAGAAAACCTCGATTTACTCCTCAATCAATCAGAAAAACACATCTGAGGTTTTCTTTAGATGAACTTCATCAACCACAGAGCATTGAGTACGCTCTACTAGCTCACCTTATTGGCCTAAATGCATTATAAATAAGCACATAAGGGTAGTATTAACAGAATATCAGTTCATTATAACCTGGTTACTTTATACTGAACTGATGGTCGACCAGCATCACCTGCCTATATTCATATTATTTCTAAAAACTACTGAGGAACATAACACAGACAACCCAGCTGTTGTTTTTAGATGATCTATCTTGTTAGTTGTTGAGATGTGATAAAAAAAAAAAAACACTAGTCGCAAGGTCTGCACCAGACTTTTCGGCCATCTGTTGGAGCAAAATACATGCATACAGTCGACTCTGTTACACGTGTCTATTAGTTTGGAGCCAATGCACAATAAACATTCAGTAAACATAAAATACGTTAGACCAAGCAGTCAGCATTTAGATTAGTGAGTTTAAAATTGTGAAAGCAAACTTTGTTTTTTACAGGTAGTTCGTTCCTCCTACCAGATGAATGGATTGATCCTAGAAGGCTGTTGATGCAGCACTTCTCTCCAGATGAAAGTAACACCAGCGATTGTCTGACTAATGAGAATTTGGTCAGATGAAAGCGTATTGATTAACCTGTTGATCTGGAAGACAAACTGAGCATGTTTGGTGTTTTGAGCCCTACGGATGGAAATGTAGAACTGTCTTTGGACTGAAATATCTCAACAGTTGTTTGAAAATGTTGCACTTGTGGTCCCCACAGGATGGATCCGACTGATTCTGGTGATCCGTGACGTTCTCTGTTGAGTCACCAAGAAGTTCTTTGTGGTTTCTGAGTGAAACACTTTGGTTCAAATACCTGTAAAAGCCTATTATGTTGAAATATTTGTGTAAATAAACTAAATAATAGGAGCATAATGGTGCTGTGGGCTGGACACTGGACAAGATAAATGAACAAAATGCTGAGTAACAGATCCAATGTTCAGTCGACTCCTGTTTAAGTTTTCTGTTAACTGACAAATGGGAATTTGTTATTTCATAATGGTGTTTTACAATTTTAAAGATATGCTATTATTGGCAAAAATATATATATAAAAATAAATATATATACATTTTTTAACAGATTTTCCTGGTTTTGTTACAGATAATAGCTCATAAAATCTCACATTTATGATGAAAAAAACAAGACAATGTCTAAAAATATGTGCTTTTGTAAATTGGAATTTGTTCTTAATTCAGTTTTTTTTTTCTGCAATTAAATCAGCAGAAACAGTTAAAGTACAAACAGTTGTTCTCACTATTCTAACTGCTTTGTATCATTAAAGTTTTCCAGTTTTTGTGTATTTTTGCCGGCACCATTGCTGCTTCTTTACAGTGCTGGTTATGTGATTGATTTCTTGAAGACTGACCAACAGAATATCCATTCTGAGCACTATATGTGGAATTCTGTAAACTTGATTCCACTTAAAACTGACCTCAAACTACATCAATCAAGTCACGCCAATTGAGTGCAAAGTTGCTGAATAACGGTGCTTTGAACAAGCCTCGTCACTGGACTACAAGCTGCCACAAGTCGCCTTCGTGTTCCACTCTAGTTCCACTAAATAAACGAGGACAGTCTCACATGATATTCTCGCTGGATGTACAACAGGTCCCTGAGCATCGTGCACAAAGAATAAATGTCCTCATTAGTGTTAAGTGCTTTGCTCATATGTTCTCTAATACCCATTCATGGTATCACAGCATGTCAGCTTCGCCCCGAGGAAGCTGTCAGCTACAGATGTCAATACCCCCGCTGACCCCACTCACTCCCTCCCTCCCTCTAGACCCACAGCACACATGGCACTGGAGGGATTGTCCCCCCAGAACAAAGGGAGTGGGGGGTTTCTGTGGAGAACAGGCAACCAAACATTCCTGCTACAATGGGGGGAGAGTGGCCGGCAGGTTCAATTAGTGCACACTTTAAACTGGGCTCTATAGCAGCCCAGTGTTCTTGAACAAAGCTGAAGCCCCACACTCAAATGGAGGTATTTGGTGATGCGGTTTGTTCATGCTGCTCTAACATTTTAAGAGAGTTGCTCCTATTATCTGCTTTGTTGCTGCCATGTTGCCCAAATAAACCACTGAAAGGGCACTCCGGGGCAGAGATGTTCAAGCTGCAAGATTCATGGCTGTCTTCAGAAACTTCATGTTTGCAAGAGAGGAAGAGAACTCTGCTGTAAGTGGGACAGAAAAACACTGCAAGGAATTTGTGCTCTTTCTAGGAACAAAGTGTCAAATGAACCACTTTTCAGGGATCGTGTTCAATTAACAGATTTAAGGCTGAGATCATCCAAAAAATAGAATCATTCCTCATCTTACATTGATTGAAGCTGTGATTTTCCACGCAGGACAGCTCAACTTCCACCTCTCTCATCATGCAACACACCACAGAAGCTCTGATGAAGTAGGATGTGTTGCAGTGACATGTTCTGCAGCACTGACAGCTTCGTGTTTGTCACCGCTGCTCATAATTGCCTGGAAACCCTCAGCCTGGGTTTGCAACAAATCGGATGTTCAACATAATCGATGCGCAGAGGTATTCTACGAGCGATCGATGGAGGAAAAAAAAACCCTTCAGAGGTGCAGAGTGGAGGCAGAAGCTGTCTGAAGTAGAGACACAAACTGATGGACTCACCTATTACACAAGGTGCGCCGTATCGTCGGGTACTTGGCGTATCCGAGAGAAATGCTCCCCAAAAGCCGCCGTGTCACACTTCACACCGTCCAGGCGCACATGTTGCCCGCCGAGAAATGTCAAAATCATGAGCCCCGGCTGCGGACTGCGGGCGCGGATCGTGTCTGTGTGGCTCCGCGGTGCGTCCGGGGCGCTGGACTCGATGCGCAAGGGGCGACACCCTTCTGCCGGACCTCTGGACCTGTGCGCCCACCTTTACCTCTCTCTCTTTCCCCCCCTGCTGCCGTGAACACCGGCAGCGACTGTCCGCCTCCAAGGCAGCGTGATCCGGTGATCGCTCCTTTAACGCTCGGTGCGCAATTAAGAGGCGCGCAGGACGCCGGTGCCACCCACTAAAAAAAAAGAGAGAGGAGGTTTTCGTGCTCAGTGTACGGACAGGGAATTTTAATGAGGACTGTTGCGGAGTTTCCTCCCCGATCGCGCTGAAATTCACTGTCCGGACAGGAGAGGGGGGGAAAAAAGCTTAAAGTTACCTTCTAGGAGAGGAGGGAGCGTCGCAGTGACGAAATAAAACGTCAGTGAAAGTCAACTGTTGGCCACCTGCCAGTCAGCAAAGTGGGACATTATCCCATTTCATAGGACACCTGTTGATTGGACACCATTCAGGCATCTTTACTCGGTGGACAGAGCGACCAAAACCAGCGGCGCAGTGAGAATCAGCACTAATAGGAAACCTCTCCAGGTGGTCTGGTGTTGGTGGAGCCTGCAGCTGCGGGAACAGGGGGCTGCAGGACTTTTTATGACAGAAAAACTGACAGGACACGAAATATTTAAGTGAAATTGTTGGTTAATTAAATCCCCAAATGTGATTTCCCGTTGTACATATTTGTAGGATAGCATTACATCTTGGCCGCTACAGAAGACAAATCAAGATCTGTTAAGATGATTTTAGCTCCAAAATCTTAAGTTAAGCATTCAACCACTGACATACGGACATGAGTCCTTAAGTCTCTCCCATTATCTCTGATCTGTGGTCCATTTCAAGGCAAGCTCATTCCTGCTTCCATAGCATCTGGGTTATGTTTCAGGAATCTGTAGTAAGTCCTGGTGGAGCTGCAGGATTTATCATTTCATCAAACACCATAGGACACAAAATATTGAAGTGAAATCATTGGTCAGTTAATTGCAAGTCCCAACATTTGAGCTCTTATTTTCTAGAATTAAAGGGTAGCATCATTTTTCTTCACTTTCTGGCTCTTGAGCAGCCAAAACAAGTACATTTCAGATGATTTGAGCTCCAGAAATCTTATATGTTGGACAGCTACTGATTCATGAATATAGGTCCTGAAATGTTTCCCATCGTTGCTGATGGTGTGGCCAGTTTCAAGGCATGCTTACTCCTGCTTCCCATTGCAACTGGGGCATATTTTAGGACAGGTAAAGAGTATAAGAAACACATTTGGAGTTTATCTGGTCCAGGTGGAGGCCAGAGCTGTAGAAACAGGACGATGTAGGACAAGTTTTTACAGACAGGCTTAGGACACTGAATACTTAGATAAATGGTGAGCCAATTAATTGAAAATCCCAAGATGTATTTATTATTTGTATTTTTCTAGAATTACATTCGTTCATTAATTAGGCCAGTTATCCTTCTGGCTCTTGAGCAGACAAAATAAGTACATTTTAGATGATTTGGGCTTCAAAAATGGTGCATGTTGGACATACAACCACTGATAGATAAATGTAAGTCCTGCAATGTCTCCCATCATCGCTGATGGGAAGAGTGCAGGAGTTTTCATCGATTAGCTTTTAGAAAAAGGCATAGAACTCATGTATTCAAGTGAAACAGTTAGTTGATTAATTGCAAATGACAAAATTTGATTCTTTATTTTTTAGAACTGTACATTATAATTCTATTTTTGGCTCCTGAGAGGACGAATTAAGATCATTTCAGATGATTTGGGCTTAAAAAACTTATGGACTTACAATCTCTCATACATGAATATGAAACTAAGAAATAAGTCCTGAAATGGGCCATTTCAAGCCATGTTTAATCGCTGCTCACCATGACATCTGGATGATATTTTAGGAAGGTTGAAGTAGGTGAAACAAGGCGATGCCTGCATTTAGACAATTAACAATAAAACTGGCTGCAAGGTCGCGCAGTTGGTAGCATTGTTGCCTCGCAGCAAGAAGGTTGCCGGTTTGCATCCTGAGCATGTTCTCCCCTTGCAGTGTGGGTTCTCTCCAGGTTCTCCGGTTTCCTCCCACACAGTCCAAAAACTTGTTGAGGTTAATTGGTGATTCTAAATTGTCCGTAGATGTGAATGTGAGTGTGCTTGGTTGTCTGTCTCTAAGTGTAGCCCAGTGATAGACTGGTGACCTGTCCAGGGTGTCCCCTGCCTTCACCCTAAGTCAGCTGGGATAGACTCCAGCCCCCCTGCTACCCTGGTGAGGATTACGCAGTGTATAGATGATGGATGGACAATAAAACTGCAACACTACATATACTACACATCATATCCCTCCTTGATGAAGCTCTTTATCCAGGTTTAAGACTTTCATGTTTGTTACAGCTCAGTGGTTCTCAAAAGAAGACTTCAAATGTTGTTTTTCCAAGTGAAATATTGCAGTTTTTCATCCTTGAGCCTTGAAATATATTCAAATGCAACAATCTGCAAATTACAGATGGAACTGACAACTCAGTTACATAAGCAATGAGCAATTAAGGCAAAAAGGTTGAGAGTCACTGCTCTAAGTGAATAACTGATACTACTGTGGTTGGTAAGAAGTGAAACTTTGCATGGTCTTTTTGTGGCCTGAAGCTGTTCTGCCTCACTTCTTGGAGACCCTTATGGTCCCTGGAGGCTGAGTCACGTTTCTCTGAACTCCCCTGTCAGGACAGCTCTTCCTCCTCTAATCTCACACCTCTCAGACAACCCAGCTCAACCCTGAACCTGCAGGGAGGCCGTCAGCTGGTCCACCCAGTACGAGGTTAAACCACTTATCCGTCCATATGGGAGGAGAGCGGCGGCGTCTAACCTCGGCTGGCAACCTGGCATGAAACAGCACCCGAGAGCTGAAGGTAAACAAAATCTAAACGGGAAGATCGAAAGATGAGCAGGGAACGGCAAGGCCTGCTAGACCAAAGTTTAAGAGAGGGGCTGAATTTCATCAACCACTGGATGAATCTTCCAGCTATAGTTATAAAGTTAACAAGAAGAGAGACACAATAATAAACTAAAATGAATGAAGAGGCTCAAAAAGTAACTTTAAATGAGTAAAATTGAAGAAGATATAAATAGAAGTCAAACCAGTACATTAAGTAGAGTTATTAAATATATAAGAAATAAAAAGGCACATTTGAGACTCACTTTTACATTCTGCTGAGAAATCATCGGTAAAAACAAGCCAAAGGCACACAGTGATGATGCACTGCCCTCTACAGGCCACCTACTATCAGTGCATCCAATTACAAAACGTGACTCGACATTTTCTGCAGACCTTCATGGAGTCATCCATCACAACTCCAGCCTCAGTGCAGGCAGCAGCAGCAGCTACTGCAGTGCATTGTATGAAAAATGCAGAATTATTTAACAGGTGCTACATTTATTTATTCAGACATGAAAAAAAAAATCTTATTTACAATCATTTTCACAGACTTGAGAATTACGGCGGTGACATTTCGGGGCTGCGTTTCAGTTCAGGCGGCTCTTTTTCAGTCTGGACGTGTCTGCTGCTGCTTTACGCTTACGTGACGGAGTCCCTGGAGCTTCACTGGAAGGAGCTTCAGCAGCCAGGTAGTACAGCTCGATGGGCGGAGTGGGCTCCTGGAGGAAAGAAAATAAAGCAGAGTCGTTGCAAAAACAGCCACGTTTACCATTAAATCTAGTATTGAGTCTGACTTAATCACATCAGGGGATCCAGGTTCTTTCAAGATAATGTAATTTGAAATTCTGAGATATGTGGAACTGTCCGAAAAATTCAAAAGTGTCTCGCTGATTTGACAAACCTTTCAGCTGCTTTACAATAACAAGAACACATATTGAACAAAAATATAGACACAGCATGAGATATTTTATTAAATTCTATACACTGAGACTCATGAAGACAAGCATTTGTGGTTCCAATTCAAGGCATCTGAACATTTTAAGGCATTTCAAGGTAGGTTTATTTTTGTTTAGGGTTATTCAGCAGTAGGTGAAAATCTGTATGAAGAGCCAAACCTGCATGAGATAGTCTGCGATGTACTCTGGCTTCAAGCATGTGACTCCCTGTGAGGTAGCCTCTGATACGTCCACCCTGAAGTCTCCGGGTTTTAGCCGACTGAAGTCTGCAAACAGATGTGTGGTCTCTTTGTATAAGGACGGGGAGGGACTGGACAGGACCTGCAGAGAGATCACAGGTAATAAATACACAGCATGATCATCTCTTGTTGAGAATAAAGAAGAGGTAAAGAAAGCATAAAACAATTTAGTTCTGTTCACTTCAATATGTTGTTGTAACAACCTTTTGATGTGTGTTTCTATTACTTTAGTGTAAAAGAATCCAGCCTGTTTGCTTTGCTCATATCTTATTTCTGTGCTTTTCCTTCTTTTTATGACTTTTATGTGGATGAAATCACACAGTTTTAATTTCAACTGTTTCGGGGGTTCCTGCTGTGTTTTATACCACAAAACAAAACACACTTGCAGGGTTTCAACCATAATTTTGACATTAGTCAGGTAATTTGAAATAGCATACAATCCAGTGGGCTCTTAACCTTTATTGTTAATTTAATCAGATTTATTTGTTTAATATATAATATGGTTGGTTGGTTGAAACTCTAATAGTGAATCCTCTATGATGCTAAAACATGCCGGCAGGTTTCAAAGGCTTGTTATCTTTTAAAGGAATCATCAAGATTACACCATTTATCAAGGCCAGAAACTAAAAAGAATCGTGACATTTTTAAGGCTGTCCTTGAACTACCAATCTATAAAACATCATTCTGTTGGAAAAATATCTAAATCCAAGCTTAACATCATGATATTTCACTGAAATCACTTTATTCTCACTTTAATATTCACCCAAAAATAAATTGCTGTCACCAGTCAGACTTCATGTAACAGTGACTCTTCTTCACTTTAATAAAATAGCACATTAATTTGCCTTCAGACGTAAAAGCCACAGGCCCAGTTTCACATGACAAATACCTCATATTTAAGAAGTCAGATGATTATTTAGAACGTCTTCTGCTACCTAAACTGATTACAAGATGATGGGCATCAAAATCTGAGTGATATACCACTTGGGTTAAACCATTATATACTCAGCCATACAGCCATATATCAGCACATAAATGTCACTTTACTGTTGAATTAAAAGTTGCTCTGGACAAAGCAGAATAACTCTGCTCAAAAATCCAGATGTTGTCTGACCACATTTCCCTCAAGAAGGAATAAAAATGTCTTATCTTGTCACAAAAGAAAAGCACTAACAAACCTTCGCCCCGCCGGACTGCAGCAACCGCCTGAAGCCTGATTCTCTGTTCTGGTCAATGTTCAGCATGACTGTCCATCCACTGAAAGCTCCCTGGAAAACACAAAAGCTCGTTTAGGGAAAATAAATGCCTTATCTTCTCAGACAGCAATTGATCCTGAGCCTGTGTGTTAACAGTGTGTATGAGCCTGGATGCACCTCATGTTCAGAGCGCCTCTGCAGGGCTTTCCTCCAGCGCATGGCAGCTAACGCGAGTCTCTTCTGTTGGGATGTGATGGAGGGCAGTGCTTCCAGGATGGAGCTACTGCCCCATTCATACTCATCCTCCTGCATCATAAACAGATACAGAGAGAGAAACAGAGAGAAAGTGTTATTCAGGATGAAGAAATAACACTTGCTCCTGATTACTGGGTGGTAGCTCAATGAGGATGAGTCAACACCAGTGAAAATCTGGCTGATTAAAACCTTTTGTGGTAAATTAAAAAACATGGTTGTGTAGTTTAAGAAAAAACAGCAAGAAAAAGCTCTTAGTGCTACTATATAAACTCTATATGCTAAACATATGGCAAGCTACTAATACAGATGTTGCATTTCTTCTGCTGTTAAAAGAAGAACATGCTAGGAAGCTGCTGCAGATTACTGGCAGGTTTACAGGTAAAGCTACAACCTTCAGAGTTTTTGCAACCCAAAGAAATCCACAGAAATCCATCTGTCAGAAACACTTTATTATTATCTTCTGATTCTGACCTGAATGAAGCGACCCACAGAGCGACAGGCCTCCAGGTATGAGCGGTGCAGGATCCATTTGCCGGCTGCCATCGCTGCCAGGTATTTCTCGTTACGCAGGGGCGTCCCTACGATGATGTGGGAGCAGCTGGGGTCAAAAGACTGCTTGTCCAAGACGACACCGCCTACAGTAAGAAACAGAAAGAGACACAGAAACTGTAGAGAACAAACCATAACATAAGATATGCTGTAACTGTACCGAGGTTATGGCTGCAAATTTGATAATAAATGACATAAAAATGCTCCATAAATGTAGTTTTACTGTAGAATTGAGCTCAAATGAATCCGTCCCATTTGTAAATTATGCAGGTGCAGTTTTAAAAAATTATTCAGCTTGTCATATACAGTCAAAAGCTGATTCATGTGTTGCAATAAAGCTCAGAAGGTTTTTGTCAGAGGAAACATCCTGCTGCAGGAAATATTCCCCGATTCTGGAGGCAGATCCTCAGTTTCAGTCATTGGGGATTAGCTCCTCTGACTTCAGGCCTGTGATGTGTTGCCTTTTGTTCTGCAGCATGATGAAACATTGTTAGATCCCTAATTAGGCGGGAGACTCACCAAGCTCCTCTATGAGGTGACTGTAATCAATGCGCTCCTGAGGGCTGAGGGAGGACAGCTGAAATCTGGGTGGCTGCTCCTCCTCCTTCCTCTCCTCCTGAGAGAAATAAACAACTTTGTCAGCATCAGTAGTTTGTTTGAACGTGCCGGTATATACAGATGGTGTGCTGCACATTACAAACATAAGCTGTATTTCTTATTTAAGTGCACTGGGGTGTGTATGCAGCTGTTTGCACAAGTCAGAGAGGTGGAAGCTGTAAACTGCGGAGGTGTTAGATATTGCTGAACAGTATATTTTGCATTGATGCGTCACATTTTGATTATATGAATACAAAGCCTTACTTGTGGCTCTGGGGCCACTGGGGGTTTGGCGAGAGGAAAGGCGATGCTGGGAGCTTTAGGAGTGGGGATGTCATTTTCTGGCTCCTCTGCTAGAGGCGTCATGACCTTCCTGCCCATGTGCTGGTCAATGACGTCGCAAGCAGCTGCGAAAGAACAGAATGAACACAGTGATGTGACCACAAAAAGCAAACTCACCGGTCAAAGGGGAACCCAGTATGCTAGAAGTCTTGTACATAATTCTGGTAAAAAAAAAAACATATTTTGGGCTACCTTGAGTGTTTTCTAGAGGACTAACTTGCCCCATCTATTTGTAAATCTAGCACTATGTTTACTGTAGGAGTGAGCTCCTTTCTCTGTTCTTGGTGACTACTCGCAAGACTCAAATTAGCAATTTGCTAAACCGAGTTGCACCATTACAACTTAAAAAAATGTCTTGGCTATTAAACTCTAAACAAATCAAAAACACTCAACCATGCAAACAGTAAGTTGGGGAAGCTTTGTTATTTTTTGGTGTCATGGTTTGAAATTTCAGATTTTCAGACTTCACATTTTTGTAAGGCGTCAGGTCAAATTTCTCAGTTTGCAGCATCACACAGCAGAATTTTGGTCAAATGTCTAACATATCCAATTCACGCTGTTGCTCTTAATGTCTTATCATGCTTATGTGGCGCAACCAGTTTTATTTTAGCCACATGTGAAGTAACAGGCTGTGTGTGACTGTCCCCTGATCTCTTACCCATCTCCACCAGCTCCGAGTCGGTCATGGAGTCCCTGAACTGTGATCCGTTCTCTGCGGTGGGGGGAGGTGGAGGTGCGAAGGGCTCTGAATGCTGTGAGGGACTTCCAGGCCACTGTAGATTATCAGCCAGCTTGGCCCTCTCCTCTCTGGCTGTAGGATCGTCCCAAACTATCTGTTCACTCTGAGATGGCTCCGTGTTGATGTCCATAGCTGCTTCTCTGGTCACCCTGGAATCGTGACAGAAGGTATGTGAAGCCCAGAAACACAATCTTTTTTAAATAATATGGCCAGCAGACAAGATGCACAAGGTCAGATGAGTCTGCAGGACTTGCCTCTTGCTAAAACGAATAAAATCACCACTGTCATTATTTTAAAGTATTGCAATAGCCCTAAAACTCCTTCCTCCTAGAGATATGTTATTTACATTTCACACGTTTGTTTGTTTGTTTTTAAATTTTGACATAAATAAGCATCTTTCATACCTCAGAGCTTCTAGAGTTCGTCTGTTACTGCTACGTCCAACTCGGCCACCATCGGGTGTGTTGGGGCTCGAGTCGGCTCCTCCTGATCCCATCCGAGAGAGTCTGACTGAAGTTCGCCTCCCCGTCGTCAGTCTGGTGGCTGACATGATCTCCTGCAGCTGCCTTTGGAGGTTCTCTCTCATTTGTAGGGTCTCTGAAATATCTGGAACAAAAGATACAAACCACATGAATAATGTTCATAAAAGACATGCCACTAAGTGTGAACATAAGCACTAACAGCTGGAAGAAGACACTCACCACTTCTTTCTGCAGTATCGTTCATTTCATCGTGATCTACGCTTCCATCGCTGACACGTCGAGGGGTTTCCACTGTGGTATTATGTTCAGACTGAGAGATAGAAAATTAAATGTGGAAAGAGGCATAATTATTGAGATACTGCTTTGTTAGATAACACAAACAACAAATACTGTTGATTCCAAAACTTTCAGATACAGCATGTCGTCAAACGGGTGAACTTCTATCTTGTCTTCTCACCTTGTCAGCCTTTGCTTCAGCGTCTTTGACTTGTGTTCGTGTTAAAGGTGGAGACCGCTGAGAGTTGTTGGGGACTTGGCTCAGGTTTAGACTCATCTTGGGGTTGTAGGTGAAGGGATACAGAGACTCGGGGACGTGCCTCTGCTCCTCAGCACACTGCACAGGTCGACACGGGTGGCTTGTTATTACACAGAGTACACGTCTATACACAGCGACGTATTCACAAAAACTAATTGAATAAAACAGTTATGAGGGGAAACATAATTGAAACAGAAAATTAACATATCAAAGCAGTTTTTCCATTTGCTATTCTGCTTTGTTGAGGGGATGATAATTATTTCTCCCGGGTGAAAAGTGCTACGAGAATACCGAATGAGATCCCAAATTAAAGTGCATCGTTATATGATTATGTATCTTCTTAAAGACATAATTTCTTTAAAAGCCTGTTTAAGCAACGAAAACAAAATGATTTGCTTAAATCTTTGTGAGGCTGTCTCAGTGGCTTGGAAGCAGGAACTGGACTTGAATGCTGGCGTTAATCCTGTTATGGATATCTTTTATGGATGGGTTTATGTCCTCACATTGAAGGAAAGCAGCCCAAGTGAACGGAACATGAATGCGCGTTTGTGTGTATTATTTTTCTGTAGAACAATTGTGACAGATTGGTTTCAGCTTTACAGTGGTCCCTGGCACACTGAGAAAGGCTCTAGCTCCCTCTTGGTTAAAGAGAATTAGTGGATATATTTTTACTTAACTTATTTAGTATTATTATTTGAATTACCACAAGCAGCAGTGGTAATAGGATTAGATAAGACAAGCTCTTTCTGAGGTAGTTTGTGTGATGCAACGAGAAGTCATGCAATTTATAATATAGATTGTGATTAAAAAAAACCCTTGCAAAGAAAATCAGTTCAATGTTTCATGTCTCCGTTAGAGCTTAGGTTGTATTAATATTACTGGGGAACGTACCGCCTGCAGCCAGTACTGGGAGACCACATGCAGCCCCCTCTCCTTCACTCCTCTGTATTCCCGGGTGTTGTCGCCGACACGACCCTGGTAGATGTAGTGCGTCACGGTATCGTCACAAGCCCACCTAAAAAAAACAAGTGGATATTCATATATTTTGCAACCATATTTTAAAAATGAATAATTAAAGGGTGGCTTTATATTTTCCTGGTTTTCTTGCAACAATCCTGCTGTGTCCCTTACGCACTGTTAAAGGGTAACTGTAATTACTCCTTTTGTCCATACTGGCCGTAAAGAGATTCCTCCTTAAAAGCACTTTCAGGGTAATTAATAGGGAGAAACACGCACAGTCTTCTGAAAAATACACTCAGCTAAAAGAGATGTAAAGCCTCAGCAGTCTGAGTCAGGGAAACTACTGTATTTTAAGCTTGCTAAATGCAAAAAACACAGCATGAATTCTCTTTGTGCTGCCACACGGAGGGAAAGAGGGCTAGAGAGATAGAAACACAAAGTGGGAAAATGGTGCTGAAAAGACACAAAATTTAGAAGATGCTTGCAGAAAGGATCTAAATGCAGAAGGAACAATGACGGCAACCAATCACCATTTGAATGTTTAAAAAACAAGTGAACCTATCCGAAGTGACATTTGCAAAAAATGTGCTGAATACCTGAAGTCAGCTCCCAGTGAGGCAGCGATGGCATTCAGTTCACTCTGCATTTTGCTCAGTTTCTTTCCAACACAGATCACAACACCAGCCAGGGGACCAGCTTCTTTCTCTGCAACCTTAGGTTAAAAAAAATGGTGATACTTTAGTGTATATGGATCTGGAATAATACAGTAGCCACATATTTTATATCTTTCACCAATGTAATGCTTGTGATAAGCAAAAAAAAAAAACAAAAAAACAATTCAACCTCTGAGACACATCAATCAGAGATCAGTACTTACACTAAGCTGAACCTAACAACTTTTCTGGATGGTGTGTGGCTTTGTAACCACAAGGCTGCGACACATTTATGTATTTGTATTGCTGTTTACCTCCTTCTCAGTTGTTTTTGTAAGCTGGGGACTAGCAGAGACTGCTTGCATTTCTGAGGCATTGCGGGTGCTGTTGGCCAGAGCCACCTTCAGGTTCCTGTTGACGACATCAGTTAGTGGCGTCTCCACCCTCTCTCCTGGTTTCGATCTTCCACCTGGAGTTTCCAAAGCTCCTAGTGCATCCTAAACAAAAGAAGCATACGTATTTACAGATTTATCTATCGAATGTGAGCGCACATTTTTGCTATAAGTCTTCGCAAAAATCCTATTTCTGAGTCCCAACCTTGACATTAAAAGAGGGCCTGAAGAGCTGGTCTCTGCTGAGGAACCGAGAAGGCGTGTCGAGCTGCAGGGACGACTCCTTCTGAAGTGGGTTCCTTCTGCCACCCTCCTGGTTTTGTTTGGGGGTGCTGATGTCCTCTTTGGGTTTCATCTCGTCCAACACGGAGCGAAACACTTTGCTCTGAAAGCGACCTAAATCCAGTGGGGTGACAGCTTTGCCGCTCTGGACACCCAGCAGGGGGATCTCTGGAGAGGAGCGAGCTGGTGGAGGCATGGCTGGTTTCTGGGAACCACCAACAAAACTCTCTTCATCCCTCTCTGTGGAAGAGCAAAATTGAAATAGTCAGCTCTGACAACAGGGAAACAATCATATACTTAACAAAATGTGTCTCCGATTGCACACTAGGCATTACTTCTGTAGAAAGTAAACTCGGTGAGGTCACTAAGATTGGCCCTACAAATAAAGTTTATTTTAGTCCAAATCTATAACAAGGTTAACTTTAGTATCACTTACAAGTCAAAGTGTTAGCTAGGTTTAGCTACGTTGAACACATAACATGGATAACATTTGGACAGCAGATCTCCATGGTGCATACACACCACTTACATTCTGCTCTTACCTGCTGCAGCCAGTTTCATCAGATAAAGTGGAAACGTAACATTACAGCAACGGCTTTGTTAGCTATCTGCCTATATTACAAGTTCAATATAGCCATTGCCAATTACAGATTCAAAACACAGATGTACCAGAGTCAGGAGTCTAACCTGGTGAGGGTGGCAGGTCAACTAGAAATCTGTCCTCCACTGCCCTCTGGCCGGTTCGAGCAGACTCTAGGATCCAGTACATGGTCACAGCAGGAAGTCCCCACTTCTTTGCTGCCTGGTACTTTGTGCCGTCAGGACTGTGCAGCACCAGATGAGTGCTGGCCAGCATGCCTTTCTTCTGGTTGGCCAGGCGCACAAAGTAGTCCTGGACACTGCAGCAGAGACAGAAGAAAGATTAAGATTAAAGAGCGACAGTTCACAATGGGCAGCAGCACACATAAGGGGAAAAGATATGCAGCAGAGAGAGCGAACTGATGCTACAATGTGCACAGTGCAGGACTATGTCTTCATTTATTCAACAGTGGTTGCATCCCACTGACCAAGAGCACATGCAGCTAGAAAAATGCATGTATGATAGAAAATCCTCTTTTGAAATTATTGCCTTGAACTGCTTTTACAGTAACTGTGCATGAATAATAATATTCCTGATAGCACTAGTGTTTCTATATTATATTTGTGTATAAAAGGTTCCACTGTATAATTCATCACTGTATCATAGAGCACACAACAACAAAACAATACACAAGCAAAAAAGAAAGAAAGAACAAAAAAGAAAACTAACAAACCACTTAAATATTAATTTCTTTAAACTGCAGCAGTTAATGACACCGTCAAAGAGTAAATCTTGACTCTTGGACCAAATTAAAACCAGATCAATTTAGAAACAGCAGGCAGGTGGTCCTACTTGGCTCCAAGGTGCTTGGCAAGCTCCACTAAAGACTCCCTCTCTGCTCCGGTGAACTGGCTGACTGAGAGAACGCAATCTTTCAGAGGAAAATGGCCATCCATCACAGGAACAGGGGTGAATAAAGGGTTGGAGGACAGTTGCAGAATACACTCCTTCTCCACGCACATGGCCTGAAAATGAACAAGAGCAAAGCATAAACGCCAGAAACAGAATGCAAAACTATTAGCGAATGTGTGTTTCAGGGCAGTGAAATGTATTCATGATTGCTTCTTGATGAGACATGAGATGAGTAAAATTACACTCTGCCTCCTCCTCAGTCCCAGTGTTATCCCCTATCTATGTGAGTCAAAAGAATAAACCTGTCTGTGATCTTACCAGCCAGGTATCAGTGACCACCTCGTCCACTGTGGCCTCGACTGAGCAGCCCAACAGTGGGACCACTGCATAGTCTGCCACAACCCGCGTACGGCCCATCAGAACCCTGCCTCCGTGTTCTGTCACCAGCATAGAGAGCTGCGCCTCGGCCTCAGTGCCAAAGCCAACAAAAAGGAAGCGCTTCCCGAAAAACAGTCCTGCTTCGCTGGCTTCCTGCAGGGTTGAGTTTGGCTCTGGTCCTCTGGTATGGTTCGGCGCCCAGGGCTCAGGCTGAGGCTCTGCAGCTGTACCGAAGGACTTCCTGCTGCTGGTCTCTGCTGCTGCTGGTGGTGGCATATCAACTGGCAGATAAAAGGACAGTTGTGTTAGCTGCAAAATACAAAACTAATATAAATCTGAATCTTGTCAAACGGATATATCCACCAGGCTTAAAATGTCTTGTAGAACCTCTTAATTCTATATTATTCACACCTAGTAAATCTCACAGCAACAGATACTCACCCACTGTAGGGTCGTCATCCATGTATTGTGAGAGCAGATCCTCTTCCGCTCTCCTTTGCCGGGGAGTGCTGGGGCTGGCTACAGGCGGACCAGCTGAGAGCCGGGAGTCGGGAGAGTGACGGACAGGAACAGACACAGCGGGCGGAGCAGGAGGCAGACAGTCGGGATGGAGGTAACCTGCTTCTGGGAGTAAACTGCCTTTGGAGAAACTGTCCAGCAGCCACTGCACTGTCACTATGTGGGGCCTGGGAAGTAACAGACATAAGATTACTAAAATATTAATCATCTAATAAATGTCAATAATCCAACAGTACTCTCTGCCTCCTCATTCTGCATCTCATCTTGCCATCACGCTATAGTTTTCAATGTTTTTTTCAGTTCAGTTTACTTTATTGTAAATACATATAATATTGAAATTCTTCTTTAACAGTAATGTAAAAATACATCCTGAACTGGAACATAGACAGAACTTATTTCATTGTAGACTATTCTTATCCACTTGAATTCCTAAAGCACTCCTAAAAATCCTAATGACTTCTAGTTAGACAAAGTACATTTTCAGCCTTGTATGACATCACATTTATATTTTTACCTACAGATGTGTATTGAGTGAAACTTTCAAATGTATTTTTTCTTTCTTATGGCAATTCACATTAAACTGAAAACACTAACTGTACTATTTGTTATTTAATAGACATTATTTTGTGCAATCTAGCCTGATGTATGTAGTGATGACAGTTTAAGAGGTCAAAAGCCAACATCTTAAACCTACACTATAAACATAGAGGCTATAAATATTATGAAGAGTAATAATCGATGTGGTACAGACCGATGAGTCGCTTTGGAGAGAAAATTCTTGAGGTTTTGGTCCAGGTCGCCCATGACCACATGTGTAAGCTCCTCACTGGGCTGGTTGAAGCGCAGACCTCCTGCAGCGTTCACAAGACGCCGCAGCTTCTCCAGTTTCTTCCCTGGCAGGCCACACAGATACAGCTGTGCAACATTCAGCACATGAGAAATACAGCTTCAATTTGATCTTTTACAGAATCAACAAACTGTTACAACAATGTGGGGGGAAAAGCCCTTCATTCTATATGAAAAAAAAAGTACAGGCCATCTATTTACCTTACATCCATCCAGTACATCATCAGCTGGGCACACAGTGAGATCCAGACTGTCTATGGGATCTGGAGTTTCCAGACGACTGATGATGCCATTGGTGAGGGCTGTGTCGTTTATTGTCATGCTGGCATTGACAGAAATGTGGCTCAAGCCCAAAAGAGATGGACCCTCTAGAGATGAAAAACATATATTACAGAAGATGCTTCACAAGGGACTTGATGTTGTGGTCAACCTCCATCACACCATGAAGGACAAATCTAACATTTTAAAGGCAGTAAACAACAGATGTACTATCAGTCTGTGGCTCACCCTCTTTCTTGCTGGTGCCCGTAGGTGTGGAAGTGTGCGGTCGGGTGGTTTTTGACACATTGCGCTCCACGGTGTACCTGCTCTCATCTTGACAGAAGCCTTTTTCTATGCTGTCAAAGAGCCAGTGCAGAGACACACAATACACATTCCACTTCCGAGCGCACTCGTACTTTTGACCTGAAACGAAATAAAAGTACAGCTACAGCAGCTTCTTCTATTTTTGAGACAGTGTGATGTTTTATTAAGATATCATGTGCTGCACAATAATTACAGTTTAAAAGCTGTAAGACTTTCGATCACTGCCTAAGGCCTGCAGATGTATTTAATTGGAAAAAGTTGACCAGTGTCCTGAAACTGCTGGTGACTCACCTGTTGGTTCACTAACGATGAGGTGTGTACACTCATTCATTTTGAGCTGACCGGTGTAGTTGGCTCCGTGCTGCTCACAGAGCCGCTGTACTTCTTTGCGCTCTGTGCTGGAGAGACCTGTCACACAAACAGTACAGCCGCGCAGCACAGGGCACAGGTAGTCCTCCATGGGCAGGTCTGTGTACCTAAAAAGACTGAAAAGGTGCAAACAGAACTGATTTTCAAATCTACACTGAAATAGTCACAATAAGTTCATCACCACTGGCTGTAATAGCTTGTGATATTGACTCATGAGTGTCAGTGAAGCCTTTTAAATTTTAATTCATTGGAGTGGCAAACAAAAGGTAAGTCTGGGCGCACTTTTCTACTAATAAACCTACTATTCCTAAGTGAAATAAATGCAAAACTATTCGCTGTTAATATTCATGATTAGTCTTACAGAAAACATCAAAGTACATACCTGTCCTGTGATTTCTCCCAGCAGGCTTTCACCCATGTGGGCAGCAGGATGGGTTTACCCAGACTTGCAGCGACCAGGTACTTTTTGCTGCCCACTTCTCCTGCAATCAGGTGTGTGACAGACACATTTAGATCAAGATAGACTCGTCCACCCATTAGCTGCACCAGATCCATCACATCTGCCTATAAAGAGAAACAAACATACACATCAACACTCTCGCGCAACCGTTTTGCTGAGTACAATTCACCAAGTCAGTGAATAATGATGTTCACACATTTTAAAAATGTTTGATTAAGACCTGCTTTTTTAAAAGATCAGATCAGATTAGATTATATCAGATAAGCCTTTATTAATCCTATAGTGGGGGATTTTGCAGTGTTAAAGCAGCAAAAGAGATTATGCAAACATGTCGGGAGCATGAGTAGAAAAACAAACCTACACAAGAAAATACAAACAAGTAATGTTCTTCCATATCTGGAAATTTGAGATATTGCAGAGAATATAACAAAGAATAAAAGTGCATTGACTAAAAAGTCCTAGCTTGAGACTTGAAGATAATAAAATTATTTAAAATAAAGTCTCATTGGGCATATAGTACAGTATATCTCCACATCACTACCCTGTCTGACAATACACCTTTCAAGAGGAAGTACACAAAATATACACATTAGTTTTATATCTACATCGCTTACAATACAGCAAACTTTATTAAGTCCTGTTAATAGGCCTTGCTGTTGATAGACACACTGGCAACCTCTAAGCTGCTAATTTGAGCATGTGACGAAGATTTGAATGACATCCAGCAGTTGATTTATGGACCAAGACTATTCTGTAGATTTGGTTTTGTCGCTATGCATAAATACCGTATTCAGGAATGGTCAGCATGCTACACACTACCGTGATTAACCAAGCAACATTTTGTATCACATGCAGGGAACTAACCCGTGTTGCTTTGTCCAGGCTGGTGCAGGAAATAGTGATGTCAACCATGGCCATGTTATAGACAGGCTTTTCAGCTTTGGGGACACAGCGTTGTTGCTGCAGACAGTACAGCACCACCAGCGGACTCACCATTCTGCAACCAAGCTGCACGACAAATGACAAAGAGTGACAAACACATAATTTAATCTCCAGTGCCTGTGAAATTCAGCATCCAGGTTATATTGTATGTAAGTTTTGAGTCAGACCTCCTTGCAGTGCAGAAAGGCTGGAGTGGTGAAGCTGCTGAACACAAACAGAGACTTGTCCTTCTGGTGCATCCGTAAAACCTCATCCTCTTCAATTGTTTTCAAATGCTTTTCAGACTGCAGCTCCAAAATGGCCTGTATCAACATGAAACAGCATAATCATCACTGCAAACAACAACACAGCAAAAAAATGGAAACACTGACAGAGAGATTGGGCCAGATAGTGAAGATTACCTCATAAGCTTTGATAGCATACTCCGTTTTCGGTCCTTTACTTTGAACAAACTTCACAACAAAGCCTTCCTTGTCTCCTTTGGACATGGTGAACCTGCATTAGGGCCAGGGAATACACATGACATCTGTTACAATAGCTCTGGCTGGCATTAGCAGCAGCACCTGAGTTGACAAGAATCATCACTCCCAGAGAATACGCTATGATCACACCTCTTAAGTAAAGCCGCAAATATCAAATTGGCTAAAGGTTGGTATGATAAGTTACATTAGCCTGCTACGAATAGTCATATATGCTAATGTTAGCAAAACTGATAGATACGTACCTCCTATTGATCCACTCAGGCTGTCAGGAAATTTAAAGGTAGCTTCTGTACATTAACAGTAATCACTATGAATTCTAGCTAGTCATAAGGAGCTAGTTTAATGTTAATACGGACTGCCAACAAGAAACTTTTCGAAATACAAGTTCATTTATCGCTATTGTCAATCTCAGACGCAGCCTGCGCAAACTTGAACGCAACTTCGTGACGTTAACCAGTTAGCTAACGTTCAAAATGCTACACAACTTAGTGAGAGCTGTAACCTTCTTCTAAAACCATCAGCATTCATATTATCGTAAACGAAAAAGTGACTAGTTTTCAAAATATAACATAAATTCATTAACATTTTATGATAATTTAATCCCAGCAGCTCAACAAACTCTTTGTTGATACTGTTCGCGCCACTGTCGTAACTTCCTGGGTTACCGTCTAATCTGTCCGTGTGGAGTCGGAGTGACCGTTCAAAAAGTTCCGCAGCAGGAAGCGAAACACTTAGTGAACGATACGATAAAGTGCATCAACGACCTATAGCAAGATATTACGTACAGTATATTCGTAAGGAAAATATAGGCAGATTTAATATATAGAAATACATAAATATTCATATTCAAGTAGCCTTCGAATGCTACATAATGCTATAATTTGTAAAGTCAGGATATTTCATTTCAGATCATGTGTTCATATCACTTAAACCTAAATATTTTTTTTTTCTTTAAAATAAAAATCACATCTGAAATAATTTTCTTTGTTACTAGACTAACTTGAACCTAAATGTTAAATGAATCATCCCAGACTTGCGAGGGACGACCAAAGTCCTTAATTGTGATATAATTAGCCCATAATGTGAAATTTTATAGAGACTCATCCAGTCCATCCTTATGGTTCCTAAATAAATTCACACAACAAGGCTTTTGTGTCTTCAGAATAATTCTGTAAATGACAGAACGTTGAGGATTATGTGGACTGTAGGGTCCTCATATTCATAACTCTGGTAAAATTTCACCAAACAATTTGTCAAACAACACACTGCAGCATCAAGGAAACATGTATTCTCCAGGCTTTTTTTTCTTTTTCTTTAGAGAGGACATTAATCTTTCAGTAACCTTGGTGGAGGCATTCGTTTGACAGACTAGACAAAATAATGGCACTGAATAATTCAATATAATTGCACAATGTACTCGAAGAACACCTGGCTGTGGAATATCGAGGTGCATTTTAACGGAGACTGATTTTGAATTTTTGTTCCCCAAAGGAACACAAATACATAAACTACTACATGCAGCCTGCAACTTGTTTAATTTTTTCAGTAATCTTCTAAATAAATAGAAAAACTTAATTTTGTCTTATGAAGTATGAGGTATTAAATTCTGGAAATTTTGCTGTGAATCACCAGAATACGGAGGAGAAAGCTCTCAACATGTCCAAAGAGCAAAGTGTCTAAAACTGTTAATTTGTTTACATAGCTATTGATAGTGTCTGTAATCCCCCCCATACATAGATGAAAACTGTGCCTATTCTGCTGTGGAAATACTTCAGATAAGATTAACTCTCACTGATCCCTCACTGGGGAAATTTTCTTGTTACAGCAGCTAGATGTAACAATTCATTTTAGTCATGATGCTAAAAATACTGATTCTACAAATAGTAAAATGTCCTTATTTAAAATTCTAGCAAGATTTTAATATGGTAACACCCTCAGATGTCCACAATAACGCCAATTGTGTGCCCAGTGGTACATCAGTGGCAACTGTGTCTTTTTGGGAAGGCATTAAACACACCGGGGTGATTCACCTGTTGGTTCACGAACATTACTTCAATCTCTTAGCAAATAAATGTATTGATTTTCTGCATTGGCATGTATCAAATAAGCTTAATTCCTCCTTCTCCATAAACATGTGCGAGCAATAAACAAATGTAAATACAAAAGAACAACACTGTGAGTTCCCTTTTATTCTTAAAATTTTATGTACAAGTGTGACTGATTTATTTTTTTTTAATGTACATTCAATATAGAAAGTTTATATACGTAATATTACATTGAACATTTCACAAATTGCACTAGTCTTTCACATAAGATTCATAATCAGAGTCAACGTCATTCGTCATGTCAGCAGAAGCTCATTTCCGGTGGTTATTATTCACTTATAAATATTTCTAGTGCTTTTTGCATTCTGGTGGGAGAATTACTTTAAAAAATACGAGGCAGAAAAGGGCAGCCTTCAAAGACAGAGCAGAATGAAGTTTGGATAAGATCAGAGGAATAATAGGCTGGACATCTGGAGAACAGATCTGTGTCATTCTTGATGGAACTGACCAAACCAGACGAGAGGTCAGCAACCCTCACACTGAGAGTTAAAGTGACATTTTTCTTGTAGAGAAAAAGGGCAGAGAAATCATACACGTCCATTTTCTCCATTCCTATGTTTTTTTTTGTTCATTTTCCACGCAAGAATCCATTATGTAGACTAGTAAATGAAATGATTATGTAGAAGGTGGATAGGTCCTGTGCACAAATGTGCCACAAACAAGGCCAAATACCCTCAGTTAGGCAGGATGTCGGGTTAAGTAGAGCCAATCAGGATCTGATAGAGTGGATTAAGATAAAGGAGAAAAGAGAATTTTGCCAATAAGAAGCCTCAGTCTTCCCATGTCTTTCTCATGAAAAAAAATCTAGAGTAAAAAATATATTCATACAAAAAGTAAACTCTTTCTGTCATTGGAAGAAACAAGAAAAGTAGCACAAACAAAAGAAATGTGGTCATCCGTTAAAACAAAGCGTTTCTGAAGACTTGAGTGCCATTTGTAAGGGGGAGAGGAGAGTGATACTGCAGGAGGTGTTCGCAGAGATTTTGGTGACAGTCAATGGCGGCCAGCTCTCTCTCCCAGTTTGTTTTATTTTATTTTTATTTTTTTTTAACTCTCTTCGTCCCCTCATTTGGGGGAGCTGAACAGTCCATCTCTGAGCTGCGGCCGTGAAGCTGCAGGGCAGCCTGGGTGCCTGAGCGTGACTGTGTGTGTGTCCTTCAGCCTTGGTCTCCAATGTCGTTGTCCACAGGGGGTGGGACGTTGGGCATTACCGTGGTGCCAGCTCCTGCTGTAAGGTAACCTGCTACTCCTGGACCTGCAGGTGACAGGAACACAGGTAAGACATAGTGCTGACGAGGACAGTGCTGATGGTGAACTACAATGATGCACTAAACTAGGACATCAACTACTGCATGTATGGAGGGGTGATCACTACACTGATACACTGCAATGTGGTGATTCTGGATGTTTTACACTGAATGAGGGGTGTAATTTAGTTTCAAACATGATGTAAAGAAATGGTTTGTGATTGAAACCTCTAAACCCCAAAACCTGGAGGCAGGTTTAAAAGGCAAACAACCCCCCTCTCTTTGTCTTTAAAATGAGAAGCTGGTGACTCAGCTGTGACCAACAGTGACAAAAAATTCTGCAATGATTCCACTGAACTGCAAGCTTTGTTTACACAGAGCAGAGAGGAGACAAGCATCAAAACACATTAAAAATATATGTAGTAAAATATACTGTGTGTGTATATAGGAAACTGTTTTTTTTGTATTCATAACACCTGTAGGCTCTTGGAAGAATGTTGTACACGTTGATTCCCTATTCTTTTGTAAAATAAATAATGAAAGAAATGTAACTTTTTTTTTTTTTTAAATGATTAATGGCTTTATAACTTTGTTGTTATGCTGCACACAAGACATGTTTGAGTTCTCTCTCCTTCTAGTCAGGGTTGTGTTGTTTCCACAGAGGTGCTGGACTTCATACTGCAGTAAAAATGAGCCCACAGTGAGTAAAAACATGACAAGAGAAAGAAACTTCCAGAAACTGCTTGGGGTTCAGAGGGTTTATTTTTTATAGAAAACCTGATGTCTAATAGAGACAAAGTATCTAATCCATTATTACTCATTTTTAGTAATCCTATTTATGTAAAAAATATATATTTAATTTGATTTATATATTAGCAAGTAAGGACACAGGTCACATTAATATTAATAGTGAGTTTCATTGAATACATACTCTTGTTTTTTACCAAAAATAAGTTCAGCTCTTGCCTAATTCATTTATTCGTTGACTTTTTGCTGAGTGGTCATCTAAAGTCACTATTTTCTTCAAACCATGGCTAAATATTGCTAACCATTAATTCAATGTTCAACTTTGAAGGGCAGTTAATGTGAAGAACGAGACAGACGTGTTGACTGGGTGTGAGGATGGGATGGTGGTACTCGTAACACTGTGAGATGAAGAGGTAGGAATGGAATATGGCACATGGAAAAAGGATGGAGGTTAAGAGGGAAGGAATGGCAGTAGGAGCAAGGTCAAAGTCTACCTGCATCAGAGCAAGAGAGAGGAGGGCTGTGAGGGCCCAGCTCGGGAGTCTAGAGCCCACCTCGCAGTGGGCTGCTGGAGGCCAGGAGAGAAGGAGTGGATACCCCTGAGGAGGAAACGTGGACGACACAGAGGAAGGGAAGGGCAGAGCCAGGAAGTTATAGGACAGAGAAAAGGGTTGCTGGGTTTAAGCACAAGTGAGGAGTCAGCCACAAGGTGGTTCTTAGGGTAAAGCAAAGCATTAAGATTCATCAACAGCTCAGAGAAAAGTGCTGAAAACTTACCTGTAAACACTCTTAGAAAATATTTGAACAGTTTTGCTTGTTAGACGTGTTAATTAGCAGTTTGAACACATAGATACTTTACCTGTCAGGTAGCCTGCAGTCTGAGACTCTGAGATGAAAAGATCATGCTTCTGGTCTTTGAAGGCACTCCACACTGAGGACCTTGCTAGAATTTCATTCACCTGCAACACAATGATGAGCAAGGAGTTTCAGATTAGACAAATAACCACAGGAACATTTTGATCAGTTATTTCATTAGCAGATAGACAACTGTAGTAGTGATGCTGATATTCCAGTCATACCTGCTCTCCATACTGCAGACTGCGAGTCATGGACTTCAAAGCTTTAACTATCTGGGCCTTAGTAGCTGAAGGGTTATCCAATGTCTCCAGGCCGATTCCTTCCAGTAACTTCAGGAGATATGGAACGAGCTCCACTCTCAGAGCCTGTTAAGTTCATTAATAATAATAAGTTTGATTAAAGTCACATCAAACACGGTGGGAGAGAATTAAACAACAATGTTAACAGTTTACCTGGGCGACCAGCTCAGTCTGCTCCTTCTGGAACATGCGGTTGAGAGCTTCACAAGCCAGTCCAGCCATGTCTGCCCGAACTTTCATCCCGGCCATTAGGGGGCCGATAATCTCCAGGGAAGCCATTGAACGCACACACAGCTACACA